ATTATAAACTGCTCCTTTTGCTGATGATATTACGTTATTCATGAGCCTTCGCACTATTTTCGACTGTACTGTACTACAAAATGGCGTCTTTCATTCACGAGTGGTGTAAACTAAATTAACGGTTACTCAACCCCCAAACAACAAAGGTGTTACCTTTTTGCCGACGGCATACTGTTGTTTATTTTACATATAATCGTGAAGGGGAGTACCAATAGAGCAGGTATCAATCATAAATGTTATTGGCGTGTGTGTTTATAGTGGTTAAACTTTTAGAAACCAGTTATATTTTATTGCGTGCAATGCCTGTAAAATGCTATGAATGGTATCTCGATTCGCGAAGGATTTAAAAAAAACCACACTTTTCTGTTTATTTCAATTATTTATTAACGTCACTACATTAATTTACGTCTGTCACATGAAACTCGATAACTAAAGCGCAGGCTATGAGCAAGATCTTCAGAAAAATGTTATTCGAATTGTATATGATAGATTCTTTGAGCGCCGCTTTATAACTGTTCATATATACTAAAAACTTTTCACTTCCACTTTTGTCTCCCAGAAGAACTGTTCGTGACTTTTTTTTATTTCTGCATAAACTTATGCATGGACAATTATTGTACGCAGCCTCTAGGGAAAGTTAATCCTTATGTTTCTTCACGAATAACGAGACATTTTGTTAGTTTTTACGTCCACTCGCAGTATCAAACTTCACCGCTTCCTCGGATCCTGCAAATGTATAAAACCATCGTTTAACCTTCCCTGGTCATGTCATTATCAATAGCATTGTCCCGCAGCAGATTGAATAAGCATTTATCTGCCTCTTAATTTCTTTTATTTCTTGCTTGGTAAAGGTCCCTTCTTTTTTAATGTTTTTTTTTTCTTCTCTATTACTTGTTGACGATGGTGCCAAGGTGAGAACCATCTTGGTTGTTTTGGGACACCTACATAATGCTATCATTATCATATTGCCATAATTTCTTATCCAGTGGTATAATGTGTGAGAGCAAATCAGCTTATTTTCCTTCTGATACGTCTCGCATGTCATCGTAACGTCTAAAAAATAGAGTCTCTATTTTCCCCAGAAGAGCTCAGTGCTTCAGGTACATAAATAATTCGTTTTCTTAATAGTGTAGCACGTTTAGAGAAATTATGGCACTCAATTATTTTCACCTGTCGAAAAACAAAATCGCCTGTTTGAGATGAAGCACAAAAACTCATGTTTGTAAGTGCTTAACTAAATTCGGTTTTATCTACTTTGAGAAAGTTTGTTGCAGAATAATCACGGGGCACCTTTTTGGAAGGAGGATGACTGCACGAAAGTAAACTTAGGGGGCCGGCGCATATATATGTAAGATCGTCTTCTACGAAGCTATTGAACTCATAATTTATTCTAGTACAGGAATGACTAATCTCGTCACAGCTCAGGAAGCCAACGTTGAATGTATTATACTTTGTCTCATCCTACGATGGACTATAGGCAAAAGCCAAGGGCCACCAGGTTCAATCACATTTTACGCTATACTACGACACGCTTAACATCGATTAGGGGTGGACGAATACTGATCAGATCCAAAGGCGCCGCATCATTTCCATAGCTTCGACGCTGCAAAGAGCCTATATGTCGTGGCTTCTTTGCGCTGTAAAATTGTTGAGTCACTCAGTGCTCTTCGATTCGTACCACTGTCCACCCGTCGCTTCATCAGCGGTCCGAGACGCGGGCACCGATACGTGCATCGAAGCGAAATATTGCACAATTTCTAAGTGGCTCGTGATTGGATCTGGCCGTCCGTAGCTTTGCCTTTAGTCCGTCGTAGGGTGAGACGAAGTATAATCAGACTTATTTTGTTTGTATATATTACCATACTGCAAGCCGTAAGTCCCAAGCAGGTTTGTAGGCATTTTAGAAAGAACAAGCGCAACTATGTGTAAAAAGTTAGAAAAGACCACACAATTTTTGACTTTTTACAGCATTCGTGGTTACTCAGTTTCATTGATGGACATATCAAACCAATCTTTTAACCAAGTCAGTATTAAAGCGATACGATGCAAAAAAAAATATTATATTTTGTTCAGTTTGGTTCTTGAAGTTTGTATATGTAACATATTTCTGAATGTAAACAAATTAATAAGATTGTCGAAATTTATCTTTATTCTGCTCAACATTACACTGGTACTTATGTGCAGAAAGTTCGCATTGGACAAAGTCTCTGGATCGATAACGATTAAAGATAAATAGGACAGTTTTACTTTGTGAGCTTTCTATTTCGTAAATATTTTGTTGTATGAATAGCTCTCAAACTGTGCTTCTATATTCAATATTCGGTAATATCAGTTACTTAGTTGGCGTTAATTTATGTACTGGTCTGGCAAATCTAACTTCCGACTACGTGTCCAAATTTTGTTTTAGCGATTGATTGGAAACATTTTCGATGTGCAAATTCCAGTTCAGATTTGATTAACGAAAAACGCCTGTAGTATATTGCAGGTTAAGAACGTAGGGCGGGGGAAAGGGAGGGGGGGTGAGAAGGAAGCAGACGCAACGCTGGTGAGGGGAGGGGGATTTGTCCTCCCCTCGTCAGCGTTCCGGCCAGTTCTTCCTCTCCCAGCTTTCTTTTCCTCGCCCTACCTTCTCGAATCGGCCAATGCTACAGGTATTTGTACTCCTGTGAATGTTTTAACGGCGTCCCACAGCAGTATAGGCTAACAGTGCTGGTACTTCGTTTTGCGTTGTGTTAACAAATACACAAGTATTTTTGTTGATTTCCGTTTGCCATTCGTCCTACCAGCTTGTCAACTTCTGTAAACGATCATTTATTTTAGTCTGAAGATCTTATGTCTATATCTCTGAAGATATATTTCCGTTGTAGTAGAGCCAAACGTGTCACGCTCTTTCAAATCTAATAGAAGTTAAAACACAGACAAGGGCGAAGACGAAGTGAACAAACACAAGGCGCCTTGTGCTTGTTCACTTCGTCTTCATTCTTGTTTGTGTTTTCGGAACTATTACTTTTTTGAAGACTATGAGTCAACTAGCCCTCCTATTCATTTTGGTGTCGGAGTCACAGAGGCTGTAAAATACACTGGGCTCACTGTGCCTACAAAAATAAATCGAGCTGCGCAGCGCCGAGCTATCGCCAGGTCGAGCTATCGCGTGACCTTCGAGCCAGGCAATAAAATAGGAAAGAGGCTGTTTATCTAAACAATATTCCGGACACCTAATTTTTCTCTGGTACTTTCGAACACACCACCGACAGTACCATCAGAAAAAAAATTTCGTTTTGATATCCGCTAAACATCTTTGACCCACATTACTACTATGTAAGATTAGTCGCAGCAGCCCAAGAACATATTGAGGCAGACCTGAAGGAACGAGTAAATTTTCATACATCGTCACATTCAACTGCGCGAGCCATTTTCAACAACCAGGTAAAAATGTGCAGATATGCGAGATGTACAACACAAGTATTCGGATCATTTAATAAAAAAAGAGCTCTTTCGATATGTAATTTCCATCCTTATTGTTGGCGTCACTTTACACCTGAGAAGTGTATAAACTGTAAACCGCATGTAATCTGTTTCGCAAGCGACGAGACAAGCGATGGTGACTCCCTTCGCTGTCGCTCGGTCAGTCGCGTGACAAGGCAAACCGCATGAAAGCAACGGGAGCAAGCGACCAAGGCGATGAACGACATTTTCTAGAAATCCAGAGACCAAGCTCCGTGACGAGCGACAGTGAGAAAACTGCGTGTCTCGTCGCTGACTCTCGTCGCTCGTCTCGTCGCTCGCTAAATCGCTTACGTGCGGCTCAGCCTTAAGGGTAAACAAAATTAACCCAAAAACCCAACAGTCAAAATATTTAAGATTAAAATGCAGAACCAATACCAACCTGCCTTTGTCTATACACTTCCACAGTGCCCCCGACCCCCGCCTTATTAACTCACAAAGCCTGGGTTGACAAAAAAGGCACTAGACCAGGCGTTTTCCAAAGCTGTTACGCAAGTGCTTCCTTTTAGCAAAGCAGCAATTTGTGATAACATAAATGCATTCGCGTTTCTTGAGCCTCTATGAACAATATAAAAACTGTGTGACTGTTATACTTAATAATATATTCCTAATATTCTATATTATCTCTATCCGCAGAAATATCGTCGAAAATATTATACAAAGTAAATAATAAATAGCTGAGTAGTAATGCTCTATCACATATTGAAACTAAAGCCAGTGTGCTTGCAAGCTCATTCAATACTGGCGTGGTAACCCATGAGCTAGGGAAAAGGAGACGGAAAGCAGAAAGCTCCAAATACCTAATCGTACATTTAGTCATTTATAGGACCGGGAGTCATTTAAAAGTCGGACCAGAGTAAACGCCACCCTTCATTAGCATAATTGTAGTTTATTAATTGTTTTCTTTACTGTCATAAATAATGACGAAAGAAAATAAAAAAATAAATAAATTTTTTGCTTAACCTTTGCTGAATATGTGATAAACAGTGCAATGTACGATTTTGGACTTCCGATCAACCTTGACGTGTAAATAAAAACAGTCAAAAAGCAGCTATACTCACAGATCTTTAATTCCGCCGCAGATTCCAAGAGGTTGGTTGATATTCTCCGGCAATAGCGAGCTCCTTCGGTTGTTCACAATAGTCCCTGCTGCACTAAACGGACACTCGCGCGGCGTTGAAGTGGCTGGGTCGCGTTAGCCTTCTTCACCTGATTAAAGTTAGCAATCTCGCCCATATAATTCACGTTAGTACAATACTTCACGTAAAGTTTGCTTTGCTACTGGTGCACTCGGCCACGTCCGCGTATTGAAAGCGTTGAATTTATACTTTTGATGTTTCTCATAATTTAACCGATTAAGCAGTTAGGAAAGAATATTCGCGATTACAACAATATTTCTATAATCGGTGGGTTAATTTATCAAGTGCCCAGCCATATTAATTTGTTGTAACCACCTAGGGTTCATATTAACAAAATAATTTCCTCACATGTTGCAGAAGCAAGTAACATTCAACTGGAAGAGCGATGTAATGGACATAATTTAAGTAAGTTAATTTTATGAAGTAATTAAATGAATGTCTAGGACTTAGAATGTTACACACTCAATGAAGTCTAAATGTGCTTGAGGTATGCTAAATTAGACAGTATCATTATCTAAAAAAGCTAAACAATATGAAGCAATTTTTATCATTGACATATCCGAACATATCTGCATGCCACTGTCCCATTAAACATGTTTAACGAAGACTTGATTCTTGTTTTAATTTCGCGAACACTACTTACCATGCTACCAACTTCGGAATGAAGGTTGTATACAAATGTATGTTGCTTTAAATTTAATAGGGTTATGCAGTTTCCGTCGGAAGGAGGGTCATTTAAAGAAGAAGAATTTTGCATAAAAATAAACTTTATGCAAACGTTTTGAGAAAAAAATAACCCAACACAAATATTGTATATCTTGTATAGTCGGAGTCTTGAAACGTAGATGTCCCCAATATTCTTTTCCGCTTCTATGTATTCAAAAACAAGTACATCGAAACCACTGGACGTATTTACTAGGCAACTGAACAAACGAAATCATATCCTCGATAGAAATATTTAGATAAGCATCTAAAACTGCTACCAGGTTTCTAAGCACGTTACTTAAACATTGATCTTTCTAAACTGAGTAATGCAACTTACCATATTTTACTCTTCCAGAAATCGAAGCAGCGCCAAACGTAGTATAAAACAAAATTGCGCTGTGTTTTTGGTTTTCACAGATGAACATACTACTCCACACTAACTTGTCTGGCCGAATTTCACTATCTGCAGTTTGCGCCTTAGGAGTGCCAATCGTGTATACAGCATTTGGTGCAATTCATTTCAACTTTTGCAGGCACTCCGAGACAAATACAAGTTCCAGACCCATTTTTGATTGAAACACTCATTGTCGTCGACAAGTACTTTTACGAAAACTTTGATAACGATGCACAGCTTGTAACATATATCGCCACTTCTTTGGCAACGGTATGTACTCTGCGTTCTGTTTTCTTTTCCAATTTTTTATTATTATTATTAGTTTCCAATTTGCGTTCCCATTAGAGTTTTCTACCTCAGAATCAATGTGTGATTTAGCGCAATGAACAGAGTGCTGCAAAATCAGCGTGCGGCGTCGTTCAGTCCGGGGCGAAACAAAAGTCATGCGGGGTGCAAAACAAAGTTAAGGTGTTAAAAAGCATGTTCGAATGAACTACCATCCGCTCTATTCTTGCAATTTTGAAGTCCGCTTCACAGTATACTATGCTGGAGGCACCGCACAGAGGACTTTGCTTGATTCGGCAAACACTGAATTGGGTCAGTTTCTAGCGGACAAGCGATAACTATAGGAATGTCTGCCATGCCAAGACGCGTGACAGTGGTGCAACGCCGCGTGACGCACCTGTGGCGCGTAGCAGCCACAGATCACGAGCTCTGCCCGAACGTCGAGACTGGTTGGGATAACGGCGGCAGCAGGATGGATTTTTAGCAGGTCCTTTTCTTTAATTAATTGTGGTGATAAAGATTTTTTTTTTAAACCGGCAAACGTCTTTCTGTCGCTACAAATCGGTGACCTGGAGAACGCTCCACCTCCGAAGACCTTCATCTTCTGCGCCAAAGATATCCAAGCCACCCTACCTCGCAATGTCTACTCCTGAGCAGCCCGCTGCGGGTCAACTCTCAGCGCTCCACCTTCGCCTGCCTCCATTCTGGACGGCGGACCCACAGATCTGGTTTGCCCATGTGGAGAGCCAGTTCACCACCTGGCGGATCACTTCACAAGTCCAGAGGTCCACATAAGTCCACATCATCGCAGCGCTTCCGCCAGATATCGCAGCGGAAATCAGGGACCTGGTCCTTACACCGCCGGCGAACGCTCCTTAAGACACCCTCAAGGCGGAGCTCATACGGAGGACCACGTCTTCGGAACAGCGCCGACTCTAACAGCTCCTCACTTCAGAGGAGCTGGGCGACCGTAAGCCTTCACAGCTGCTGCGGCGCCTACAGCAACTTCTGGGTGAGAAGGCGCCTACCATCGACGTCGCGTTGCTTCGGGAGCTTTTCCTTCAGAGGCTGCCGACTAACGTCCGCATGGTCCTGACGTGTGCGTCTGGACTTAACCTCGAAGAACTGGCAAAGCTCGCAGACTCCGTCATAGAAGTCGCTGTGCCCACCATTGCACAAGTCCAAGGTGAGACCGGACCACTACCGTCCACGACTTCACCTGCTGGCGTGACGACTGCCACAGCCGACGTCAGCGGCCTTAGGGAGGAGTTTCATCGTGAGATAGGACGCCTGTCTGCTCAGATCGCTGCCCTCACCACCCGCATTTCAACACGCCGACGTCACAGATCGACTTCTCAACAGCGCCGGCATCGTTCTCCCTCGCCCTACCAAGGTACGTGCTGGTACCATCGCACTTTCGGCGCGCAAGCCAAGAAGTGCGTTCCACCATGCACGGCCTCGGAAAACGCCCAGACCCACCAATAGAGGCGGCGAGTGGTGCCGGTTCCGAAGCCAGCCGTCTCTTTTCCGTATCAGAATTCTAGTTTTCGGTTCCTAGTCGACACCGGCGCCGAAGTTGGCATCCTACCAGTGAAGTCCATCTCAAGCAAGCCAGAGCGCTCCAACGTCATTTTGCAAGCGGCGAACAAGTCTGCCATTGCCACCTACGGCGAACGAGCACTCACACTAAACATCCGCTTGCGACGACCTCCGAGATGGGTGTTCCTGGTGGCTGACGTGACGTATCCAATCCTAGAAGCAGATTTTCTTCATCACTTCAAACTCCTAGTGGACATACAGCGACTGCGCCTTGCGGATTCAACGACCAACTTCGAAGTCCAAAGTATAGAATCCTCATCATCACTCCCGCAACGTTGCACTCCACCCGCCACAAAGTATGAAGATCTGCTTGGAAGGTTCCCTACGCTTACACCGCCTGCCAACTTTCTACAGCCAGTGGAACATGACGTCACTCATCACATCGTGACGACCGGACCTCCCACTTATGCTCGACCTCGAAGACTCCTAGAAGATCGGTTAAATATTGCAAAGGCTGAGTTCGAGCATATGCTTGAGCTCGGCATTATCAGGCCTTCGTCAAGTCCATGGGCATCCCCCCTCCACATGGTGCAGAAGAAATCCCCAGGGAATTGGCGGCCTTGCGGCGACTACTGCGCGCTGAACAACTCCACCGTTCCAGACCGCTATCCCCTACAACACATCACGGATTTCACCGCGTCGTTAAAAGGGACCAACTATATTTTCAAAAATCAATTTAGTCAAAGCTTATCACCAGATCCCGGTGGAACCATCCAGCATACCAAAGACGGCTATCATCACTCCGTTCGGCCTCTTCGAGTATGTCAGGATGCCATTTCGGCCTCCGTAACGCGGCACAGACATTTCAGCGATTCGTCGAAAGCGTTACCCGTGAGCTGATATTTTGCTTCGCATATGTCGACGATATCCTGGTGTCTCGCGCTGATGCCGAGCAACATCTTGAACACCTAGAGATCCTCTTCCAGCGCCTGGCTCAATATGGACTCATTATCAACAAGGCCAAATGTCAGTTTGGCGTTTCCGAACTGGATTTTCTATGCCACCACGTCGACTCCAACGGCATCCGCCCACTTTCATCAAAGGTCGACGCGGTCACAACGTTCCCCACACCAACGTCGCGCAGGATGCTTCGAGAGTTCCTCGGACTTGTGAATTTTTACCGGCGTTTTCTACCACACTGTGCAACTATTCTGCAGCCCTTGACCGATCTCCTGAAGGGAAATCAGCGCGACTCTGCACCTCTACCATGGTCTCCAGAAGCAGCGGAGGCGTTCGGGGCGATCAAGCCGTCGTTCGCAGAAGCTGCACTATTAGCGCATCCGCTAACTGGTGCGCCTCTCTGTGTGATGACAGACGCCTCAGATGTCGCTGTCGGCGGAGTGCTTCAACAGCTTGTTGGTGGACACTGGCAACCTCTAGGATTCTTTTCCAAGAAGCTTTCACCAGCGGAGTCCCGCTACAGTACATTCAGTCGAGAACTCCTAGGTATCTATTTCACCATCAAGCATTTTCGGCACTACCTAGACGGTCCGGAATTTCACGTCCTTACCGACCACAAGCCGATCACTTTTGCAATTCAAGCAACACACAGCCGCCTCTCCTCCATGGAAAGTCGGCATCTTTCGTTTATTGCAAAATTTACTTGTGACATCCGCCACATCAAGGGCACCGACAACTCACCTGCTGATGCGTTGTCTCGGATCACTTGTTGCAAACCCATCCCCAAAGCTTTAGATTTCGCTGCTCTAGCAGCAGCTCAGCAGGGCGACCAGCAGATCCTGAGACTACGTTCCGCGTCCACCAACCTTGATCTATGCGACAGTTTACTGCCAGGCTGGGATACAACGGTCATCTGCGACATGTCCACAGGTACACCTCGACCAGTGGTACCGCCCATTTTCCGGCGGCCCATTTTTAACTCGCTGCACAACCTTTCTCATCCCTGCATCCGAACGACTTAACATCTCGTCGCTCAACGCTTTGTTTGGCAGGGAATGAACAAAGATGTGCGCGCCTGGGCACGTACTTGTCTTCTTTCTCAGCGTTCCAAGGTTCAACGACATACCTTTGCACCTTCCGCTACAATGAAGACAGCCATCGCTCGTTTCGACAACATTCACCTGGACATGGTAGGCCACCATCGCAAGGGGCCAGATACATGCTCACGTGCATAGACCGATTCACGCGTTGGCCAGAGGCCTTCCCCATCGCAGACATCTGCGCGACAACAATTGTGAGGATCCTAGTCGACGGCTGGATATCGCGTTTCGGCGTTCCGTCAACCATATCTACCGGCCGAGGCGCACAGTTCGAATCGAGACTGTTTCAGGAGCTCATGGTACTCGTCGGAATATCTCGTATTCGTACCACAGCATACCATCCTGCTGCTAACGGCCTCGTGGAAAGGTTCCACTCAACATTAAAGGCCGCGCTAAAAGCACACAACGACCCTAACAACTGGGCCAGACTACTTCCTACCCTCCTACTAGGCCTGCGAACCACCCTCAAGACAGACATCGGATGCACTGCCGCAGACCTAGTCTATGGACAGACGCTTCGCCTCCCAGCTGAAATGATTGCCACTCAGCTTAATTCCATCGTGCCCGATCCTCTTAGCTATGTCACACAGCTTCGAGAAGTAATGCGGAAGCTTCGTGCCACACCAACAAGGCAGCGCAACCGCCACCCGACGTATGTGTGCGACGAATTAACCTCGGCCACACATGTTTTTGTACTTCGAGACGCAGTCAAGAAACCGCTCGACCCACCCTACGACGGTCCCATCAAGGTGCTGGACAGACGAGAGAAGTTCTTTGTACTAGACTTGAACGGGTGGCGAGACACCATCTCCATCGACCGCCTTAAACCTGCCCACCTTGAGCCAACAGAAGTTTCAAGCGTCCAGCTTCTATGTTGGCCCTCCTCTGCCCCACACTCGATACCACCTCTAAACCCCGCTCAGTACCGCAAAAATCGCTCCGTCTCTTGGACAAAACATCTCCCCAGAGACTCCTTCAGGGGGGGAGCTCTTGTAGCGGACAAGCGATAACTATAGGAATGTCTGCCATGCCAAGACGCGTGACAGTGGTGCAACGCCGCGTGACCCACGTGTGGCGCGTACCAGCCACAGATCACGAGCTCTGCCCGAACGTCAAGACTGGTTGGGATCACGGCGGCAGCAGGATGGATTTTTAGCAGCTCCTTTTCTTTAATTAATTGTGGTGATAAAGGTTGTTTTTTTTTAACCGGCAAACGTCTTTTTGTCGCTACAAGCTCACATTGCTGCAGATTGTACACCGCTCACCACTGTTTAGGCGACGACGGCAATCATGTTTTTTTTTCTCACTTTACTCAGGTATTATATTGTGAAACCCAAATTTGTATAGATTAGTTCAATTGTTATTGCTCTATGCATCACTATGGTAGTCTTGATGGAAATTTTTAATGAAACCGAAAAAGGGTAATGACTTGTCAGTACAAAAATGCTGTGATATCCTCATTGCCCATATGACAGCAAACTGTTTTAAAACTTTATTCATTATAAATGTATTAGAAAAAAATACATATACTACAAATTGTGTCTGATACATTATTTTTTTTATTTATTATTTTTGTTTACCCAGTACTGGAAACATTTATAGGCGCTCAAAACGCGACAGTCTAGCTCTAAACAAACCGGCCACGTCTCTGACCTCTGCAGGAGTATGAACGATGGATCGCTTTGGAAGAAAAGCAAGGTACTCTGAAGACTCAGTTATTAACTAGCAAAAAAAAAAAATGTGAACGCCTTAATTTACTAACTGACCAAATGTAGTGAAAGTTAAACCGAAAAAGGCAAACACGTTTATCGATTCCTTGGTGCCTTACCACGCGAAACATACTGTGTATACTAAGTATGCGGTTCCAGCGGTCGATCGTGACTGATCTTTCAAGAATAGCAAAAAAATATATATGCTAAATAAATCTTTCTGTTGAATTGCTAAATAATATTATATAATTAAAGCTGTCTTTTTTGCTTCAGGTGAGCATAAGATATTCAAACGCAAGCAACCCGAAAGTACAACTGCTCATCGTATATATAACTAAGGACGTGGTGGGTCTCATTTGACGGCCATATTTCTTACATTTTAAAGCAGTGTGAATGAAATCTAATCGCGCCTTCTGTTATTTTCAGGGGACAGACTTTCTGCGACATATTTTAGTTTCAGATGCAAGCAACCTCGCTAATCCATTCAAATTATATACCTCAGCTCAAGAAACATTACCCCAGTTTGCAAGGAAATACCGGAACACGACGTGCGACGCAGCGATGCTGGTCACAGGGTAAGAAAACTAGTCAAATATATCAATATGTTAAAGAAACCTACACGAACATACATAATGAATTAGGGTAGCGATGCGGGCTAGTAGCATTATGCTTAGTAGATTCGACGCAGCCCACAAGAAACGAAGTAGGATGGGGTACACAGAATAAGCGCTTACTCTCAACTGAAGTTTTATTGAAAATAAACACCGAAGCAAACAACAGCATTCCGCACTATCATGGACAATTCAGCCCGTGTCCAAATGAGAGATCTCCTTGTTATCTGGGACCGATGTTTGCCTTACACATTGCCCAGTCCCTTCGTTTTTGATCGTCTAGACCGCTAAAATTTCCCTAGTCATTTCATCCCCCCCCCCCCAATCCCAGCAATCCTGACGTGATGGAAGTTGGGCTGGCATCTGCAGACTGTACAATGAAGCGGCAAATGAAGCTGCTTCATTGGGTAGATTACGGATGCCAACCCAACTTCCATCGCGTCAGGATTGCTTGAACGGGGGGAGATCAGATGACTAGGATACATTTAGAGACTTGCACAATTAAGAAAGAAGGAACTGAGCGATGTGTAAGCCGAGCATGGGCCCTTCTGTATGGTAAAGAGATCAGTTATGTGTACACATGCTGAGTTAACAATGATGATGTAGAATGCTGTTTTTTACTTCAGCGTTTATTTGCAATAAAAACTTTAGTTGAGAGTAACTGCTTGTCCGGTGTTACTCGTTCTACTTTGTCTTCGTTTGCTGTGCGCCGTGCAGAATCTACTAAACATAATGTGATATAAGACCTATATTCTACGTGATTTGCATTACATCTATAATTATACTGTACAAATTATATAAGAAATAAATATGATCCTTATGAAACATGAGTTGGCCGCAGAGAAATATAGTCTCACATAGTTTCTAGTAAAAAAACTAGATAAATATACTATATAGACTGCAAGAAAGAAATTATGCGGATTATTTGAATGCAATTGAAAAGTAGCGCCGAGCAAAATTAATAATGTGTATGAGTTTGACACATGGGAGTCAGCTTATTTTTTGGTCGAAGTAGTTCCGGCCGCTAGCTTGGCTATTAATGATCACATCGCAACTAATAATATTTATAATGTCATAAAAGCGTAAAACAAGTTCGAACATTTTGAAAGCATTCGAAAATATTTAGACCTTTATTTAGTTTAACACAAAATGGTAATTTAGAAATACTACAACGACAAACTAATGGGCAGCGAATGTACTAAATATTTGACAAGCTAATAAAAATTGCAGCTTGAATACTCGGAAAACGCAACAGGTCGATAGATTGTAACATTTTATCAACTTAGATTGGGCTACTCGTATTTTTTAGATGTTCATACTAAAGCTGCACTTGAAAGAAAAAACTTTCAAGCGATTCTTTGAGCCCCCATACATATAAAGGTCAGATAGAAATAGGTAACCAGGATATATATTTTTTTTTGATGACACGGGAGATGTAACTAATTGCATTGATGTAGCACACAGCCAGTCCGAACGCATGATAAGTGGTTTGCTCATTAATCATTTATTGCGCTTGCTTCTGATTAACTATACACGCTTCATACATTCTAATCTGTGTGCTATCAGTTGGTTGGCAAATATTGTAACAATTTATAATTTGAAAGGGGAAATAGAATAAAGAAGCAGTACTTCCTCGTAAACCTGCGAACTTGCGATTTTAAATGTTAAGAAATGTTTGAGAGTAAACAAAACATCCATTTGTGCTTTCAATTGATATGGTGCAGAGCTGTCCCCATGTATATATTAGGATGATTTGCAAAACAATTTCTCGACGAACTTAAGGATAGACTCAGTCGTGAGCGAAGTTTGATTGCAATAAATATGAGTATGAACAGCCTGTATTGAATCAATACTGTACCTGTAAGATTTCAAATGAGGGTACTGTCCGGTTAGAAAAATGATAAACTTTAATTACAAGTCCTTATCGTTACAAGTCTCTTATCAAATAAAATACTAGGGCTGGTAAAATCGCACCCCCAACACAAGGCCAAATTCAATATTGCGACTCATATTGTCCGGGGTTACGTAAAATGCGCATAGGAGACCTGAATATAAACTATTAAAAAAAAAAAAACACCAATAAGTGTTGCATAGTGCCCCTAAAAGAGGGAAGAAAGAGATCTTTTGTCACACTAAGATCGAGGTTAGAACTTACCTCCTCACCAGGTACGTATCATGGTAATATGATGTTTCTTTGATTTTCGTTTGTTTTTGTTATACCAATTGTCGCAAAATATAAATCGTACTGACTAGAGGCGACACAAGAAAAAGTAAAATGCGAAGTATCTTCGTCATTCCGGATCAAAACTAAACATTGGCCTAACACGCCGAGCAGTTTCAGTAGTTACCGACGAGAGTACAGCTTCTCAACACGGTCAAATCCCGGCTCGCGTGAAACTGCACGCCCGCTCCAAATTTGTGTCTAATGACTTGTCTCGACAGGAGTGTCTCCTGAAGGAATTATTACTAATGCTCCCAATTTATGTTAATGCACATTACCATACCGGACCTCGTCGTGCAAACCAACCTCCTTAGAGCCCCACGTTCTCGAATTTACAACGAATCCGTATTGCTAGGGTCTTCAATTGTCTTCAAAATGCAGGGTGTTTTTTTTTTCTGCCTGGAAATGGGGGAGGGGGCGAATATATTTTTATATGTTCGGTGTTTTTTGGTGTCAATATTTAATGTCACCCAAACATCGCCGCTTATGAAAGGCTAAGTTAAAAAAAAAGTTGAATGAATGCGATTCATGGACCCCTAGAAAATATGCATGTAACACGAACGCTTCCAAAACGTCCTGGCAGCGCTTCCCCAAGAAACAGGCAGCCCAGGGGAGACTTTAGTGGCGCCCTCTTTCGGGTTTACACAAAGCAAAAACTGTAGATCAATGTTTCCTTCCCATGAACTTGGGGGCATTCTGATTCAATGACATCGCACTTGTTTTTCATTGATTCTTTTTGTGGAAACTGTCTCGGTGGCTCATTTTTTGTTTGTTTTGGTTTTATCTGCGTTCACCGTAAACACGAAACTCTACTTATTACTTTCCTTATTTATGAACCCTTGAATCCATTCAATTACTTATTTACCAATAAGATCTTACCTACCTAGTTAGTCCGCTCCTATTCTGTTCTACTCAGCTCACCTTTTGACTATTTTTTTAATAATCCGGGTGACAATTTGTTTCTGTATCAGGAAATATTTTTTTTTATGTTGCAAAGAAACAACGTAAAAATGCGAATTGTTTTTTGTTATGAATGTAAGAGAGCATGGCGTTCCAGTACACCAAGAATAAAAAAATATGTTGCTAACGAAGCTTAAAAACCATAATCAAAAAATTGTTTGAAATTGTGCTATACAGCCACTGTGGAAAGACATTGCACTAAGTAGATTATACAGTATTATTTGATTCAACTGTATTCTTTAATAATGACTATTGCCTTTGCACAACAGTGATGTTTATATAATTTCGTTCATAAAACTCACCCTTTAATTTAATTCAATTTCCAACAGGTTGGAGCTCGCCAACAGAAATGGTGCAGATGTTTCTACCGATGTTAAAGGTTAGTAAAATCAACATTGACTCTTTGTGTACTACGCCACAAAACAATGAAGTGAACATATTGATGAATAGACCCGCCTCTGAAAAAAAAAAATGTTTGTGTGGCAATTGTCCTTATGTGGTGAGGATGTGCTTGAATATTCACCTTCTTGAAAGACAACGAGTGGCCAAAATCACGCAATTATGACGCTTCGCGCAAAACCTACACTTGAAAAACCAAAAGCTATGATTGCCCATCAGACCACATTTGGAACGATGACTTGTTTTACAACATAAGTTATTTTTAGCGGAAGCCTCTAATGCCATACAATTGGACGATCATATATTTCATGCTACATTTATAAAATATACTATTGACGCCACGACTTACAGGATGCTTTCGTTTCCCTGGTAAATTGGGTGGGAAAACCGAGGCCATGTGACATTATTTCACATGAGCTACAAACCTCACGTCACGTCACAACGCCGACACTTCCCATCTCCTCTTCATTCCTCCTCTCCTATAGTGCCCTTTTACGGAGTAAGCAACACAATTATTTCCCATTTCATCAAATTAATCAAGTGCTATTCCATCTTTATTTAATTTGACGGAATGTCCAAGTCAGTGTGCAGGAATTTCCTTCCTACTATCTGTCTCAGAGAATGACACAACTCACTGGTTTAACAATACGCGGAAACTTATTGAGTGCTATCTACAGCGCCTCGATCCCAAGAGCCCCCGCGCATACGCTGCGAAGGCCCTTCGTCAACAGCGGACCGCCACTCGAACGGCCAAATGTGCTTGGACCGTAGTGAAGTTGACATTAGGGCTGGTTGGTAGTCTAACAGATTGAGGTATTTAGTGCACAAAGTAGAGAGAAAAAGAAGAGGACAGAAAATACACCATATTTAGTGACAGGAAACGAAAGAAAAAGAAGACGACAGAATGATCCACCGCGGACACCTGCACCTACGACGAGCACCGTGAATGATAGTGGCTCGAAAAAAAAAAATTGGGTTGTGTGGTATGTTTATACAGCCTAGAACTTGGTCTGCCTCACAGGGGCGACGAGTCTCCCAGCTGTAGATGAGCAATTTAGCCAGTGCAGTACAACCGCTAGCCTGGGGTCTTTAACGTGCACCACGCAGTAGCGATACACGACCGCACGCCGGTACGATGCTCATCCAGATCGAAACGGGCAGGAGTGGGGATTGAACCCAGGATCCCTGAGTTCTGCGATAGTGGCTCGTTCATTTAGGCTCGTGTGGGCCCTTCATTCACTGTTGAAGGAATTCTCTTTCCTCGTGACAGCGTCACGGATTCTAAACTTATACAGCTCCTGTCCTCACAGAAAACGTGGAAGGCCACCAGCGCCTCGCAGGTCAATTTGTCGGTGTTTCTTCCCAAGATGTTTGTCTCGCCGAATGATGGTGTGCATGTGCACTCCATACAATGAATTGGAAGATGTCCCCCCATTGTAGCCATCAAGAAGTAATCATGCTCACGGAATCAATCAGTGACCATCAGCTCCTTTGGTCTACGTAGCTCTTCCCACTAAAAAGGGGGATCAATTCTTAACTGCATTCAGTATTAATGTGGAGAAATTATTTTATTCCTTGCCACATGACCAGATACTGACGTCGGTGATAATATGTAAAGAAGCCAATGGAGAGCTCGCCTTCCGAAGTTCCAGCGGGGTACCCATCGAGAGCTTTAGTGAGCTGTTACATTCCTACCTGATGTCTGAGTGGCGGGATTGGTGCTATCTGCAGAAGTCATGAGTATGTATTAGTTCCTGCATCGCAGCAGTGCTTAGTGACATCCACATGGGGGCAGTGGACCGTGCCATGGAAAGTGCGTTTGAAAGAAAAAAGTGAACATGGTCGCCCGCCATGTTGATGACCATGGCCGTACCAACCGGGAGTGCAAGGGGGGCGATTGCCCCCCCCCCCCCCCCCCAGTTCTCAGAATGGGGGACAGGGCATGTGTTTTGCCCTCCGCCCTCCTAAAACAGCCTCCACTGGGCGGGGCAAACACTGGCCGGCGCCACCCAATGAATCCCAAGGGCACCGTCCCCCGATCCGCGGGGCATATTGCTAACGCGAAGGCGATACACACCCCAGCAACGGCGCTCACGCCGGATTCGCTGGTTCGTGGAGATAGGCGCTGCCGCCGTCAATATAGGCAGCGGTCGCAACACGAGTTTTCGAAGCGGTAGCGTATACCTTAGTGGTAAAATATATGCCTCATATGTAGCGGACCCGGGTTCGATTCACGCTCTGGGCTTACTTCTTCTTTTTTTTTTTGGCATTTTATTTTGTCAAGGCATTTCGCGATATTTACGACATTTCTTTTTTGCCATTAACACTGATAAAACGATTGTTTTCGACGAAACTTCGCTGAACTAAACGCTATATGGGATTCTATTTACCGAGGTGGCATGGGTTGCCGGCTGGATGCCGCAAAGCGGCGTGTAGGGGACGGGAGGAGGGGTGGGGGAGCGTTAAGTGGGTTTATAGGTTTGTAATTAGTAGCTGCATACTGCCAACGCAAAGCGGCGTGAACGCAGACGGGGTGGTGGGTTAACGCGTTTCGAGTGTACGCGCGTCGTCCAAATCTGAAATTTAAGTTCTCGCGCGTTGTCGAGCAGCCAGTCCGGCGTGAGCGTCCTTGCTAGGGGGTCAATCGTCTCCGCCATAAAAATTAGAGATGAGCCGAATATGCCAATCTTCAGATACGGCAATGTACGGTACATGCCTAAATTTTGGAGGAAAGTTTGGCAAATATTTAGCGAAAATTCGTCAAATGTCTGAGCACGCGCGCGAACGCGGCGGGGCCATGCATTTCAAATTGACGCCGAGCAGTCGAGCTGTTACCATCGTACAGTTTAGTACAAACAGCGGTTACGGCTAGGTGCGGAGTAGGCAACGTGCGTTTGTGAGCCTTTGCGAGTGTTGTTCTCCTCAATATTCTCTACCTTAAGAACGAAAAATCGACCAGTAATTTACGCAGTCCACTGCGCAAGTGACAAATGATGCGGTACATTCTGTATACCGGGATTTTAATTTTACCTTTTCATTGATGCAAGGAGGTAGTTGAACCATTCACTGACAACTGAAAATTACGCTCATTGTGCCCAGCCGACTGCTGTCAAACGCGCAGAGTCACAAGAGCTGGCCAGGATGTATGGGAAAGATATTTTCTTTCCTTTTTGTGTACTTTCTGTTGTGTGTATATTCAGTACATATAAACGCCTGTTTTGTTTTTTCACATGTGGTGGCGGGCTGGCAGGCACTCTGTGGAAGGTAGCAGCTTGGACGAGTTGGTTGTTCATATTAATATACACACTACAGCGCACTACTGCAAAAGTACACTCACTACCTACAGCCGAAAAAAAAAGGAAAATTTCAAACGAACCGCGCTGACTGACTACTCGTCTCTATATACAGGATGTCACAAAAGAAAATTTACACTGTCTTTTCTACCGCAAAAATAAACTGGGCATCGCCGAACGCTCATTCTCCGCCCAAAGGTAGCGCTAAGGGTCCCAACCAGTTGCCGAAGTTTCAGCCCGATCCGATAACTTAATCAAAAGTTGTAACTGATTTTCTGAAAATTTCAATGGGAAAATGGCGGCCGACGGAGTTTTCGATTGCATGGCGCTTTATGGCACCAGAAACCGAAAACGGGCAAAAATGGGCTCCATTTCCTCATTGAAATGTTACAAAAATCACTCGCGTTCCAGAAGCCGGAGTATCAACCCCCTTCTGGAACGCGAGTTATGACGTCATCGGGTAAGCGCGAGTAAGTTTTAAAACGCCAAGGTACGAAACCTTTACTCCGGAGTCGGATCGAGCAAATATTGGAACACAGCTCAAGACGCCTAGAAAATGTTTCTTCTTTTTCTGTCGCGGTGAAAGATGGTGTACAGATACAGTTTTCATAATTCCTGACGATGTGTTCGGCGTCAATAATTTCTCTAGGTAATTGATTACTGTGCCTACCTAAAATTGTACAAGATGGCTGGTAAACCTCGCATTCACAATCACGGCAGTGTATACCCAGGTGGCCAGATTTAACTCTGTTACTATTGTTTTTGTGTTCACGGGGCCTATCATTAAGAAATCGTCCAGTCTGCCCTACGTACGTTTTAACGCACAAAGGGGGATATGAATACACCACTTCCTCTGCTTACTCGACGAAGCTGTTCTGATGGTTCTTGGTACAACTTACTGTTCGGTGGGAATATGGTGACATAGAGTAATATACGGGGAGTTTACTTGTTTGCACAGGTTCTCAAGCGTATTAGGAGCAGAAAAGACGACGTCGATGATTATTTTATTCGCAGTTTTTTTATGCCATTAGAGAACCTGTGTATGTAGGGAAGAACGACTGGTCTCGTGGTTCTATCTCTTGCTCTTGGTGTGACAAATGCTCTTTTCTTTTCAGTTTTTAGGATGCTCTCTGCAATCGATGTTAATAAAGAGATAGGATATTACCAGATGTTAATCTTGAAATTTGTGCATCAAAACTTACTGAAATGGAGTGCTCGCAAGATATTTGAAGAGAGTTGTTGAGACATAATTATACGATTCCTCTTTTTACGAGCTTTGAATGCGCTGAATAGCGACCTTGGCTCCGAACGGAGGGGGCCTTCGGTCCACCTTTGAGGTACCCAAAGAAAGAAAATTTCCCTTCTTGGATCTTTCCCTCTAACTGGGTGTCACCGGAGCTTGTTGGTCGTAGTGCCCACGATCCAACGAAGATATCCTAGACTATGGTCCGGCCCAATCACAATACATCAGGAGGGGCTTAGTTCTAACGGCTCGGCGTTACAACGGTCCTGCTTTCATTATATGGCAGCCAGATTCAGTTGGCAAGCCGAGGGGCTAACAAAAGCCGTCTATTCGTCAGTCCTATTGGCTGATGTGGCAAACGCTCTGATGAAGAAAACGAAATGCTTCCAGACGAATCAGACCAGTATCGAGAAAACAAGGTCAGTGGCAATACCGTACTTGCATAGGAT